CGAATATTGGGAGCAACGACCATTTCCAATGCAAATACTGAGTGGTCAGGTTCAGTCACCTCGTTACAATCAGCTGGACAATACTGAAATGCTCCATTCGATTCTAATAACGGGAGTCAGCAGGAAGGGAAAGGACCAATTCACACGACGGGTGAGCTTGGTTCGAAGAGCCAATTGGATCCAATTTTGAGAATCCAATCCGGGTCTTCTTACCCAATATGAGACCTGCATTTGTCCGGCAACCCAATGCAGTCTAATTTCGGAAAAATCCAAGTCTTACTACGGACCTTAGCCAATCTGACGCGAAGGACCAGTTTGATCCAATTACAAGAACATCCAGGTTACTACGGGCATCTTTCCCAATATGAGACCTGAATTGGTCGGGCGACTCAATGTGGACCCGAGTACGGGGTTTCGATTTTTTTTCAGGCTGTCCTATTCTCTGTGTCGTTTCAGGGAACGTTGTTTTCGGTAAATGGATTTCTTAAAGGTAAAAACGGAGGAAGAAGCTCTGACGGTGGGAGCCAATTTTGAATCTGAGCTCTGACGATGGGAGCCAATTTCGGATCCAAGACGGAAGATTGAAGAAATTCAGAGGATAAGGTTATGGGAGAATTAGTTTTGGGGGGGTTTTTTTATTTTTTGTGAGGAAGAGCGAGCTTCAAGTTTTTTTTTTAAGGTTACTAGTTCGGGTTTTATTAGAGGTTTTTGAAGATCAGGGATTGAAGAGGAGCTTCATACTTCGGATAGAGGAAGAAAAGACAAAGAATTAGGTTTTTCTTCTTCAAAGGTTTTGGGAAGACTGAGGCAATCGTTGTTGAAGTCAGTGTTGTAATGGTGAATCGGGATTTTTTAATGAAGTGGGTTTGAATACTCTTGACTATTTTGTGAAATCGAGTTACGTCTGTGATTGAAGAATTAAAAGGGTGTCTATAGGATTGAGTATGCGGAGTGAATGAAATTTATTGGATTAATCTAACAAGACAGTCAATGGATACAAGATTGTAAGTACAAAGCGGTATTGAAGATTAACAATTTGGATTGTTCGGGGTTCTCTGTAACGTTTAGCGGCCTACCGGCTGGGGTAAAAAAGACTTCGACAAGCAGTGGAAGGGCATCCGTATAGATTTACGGTATATTCTTGTAGTCGTTTATATTTCAGCAGTCAAAAATTGATAGACTGCTTGACTATTGGCGAATCTCTATACTACCTTCTACAGCCAGACGGTCGACGCGTTCTCGAGCAGGAAAGCACATAATACGACAACGTGTTCAAACTTCGCCCAATCTTGGCATGCTTGGTAAAGCAACTTTTACCTAAGGTTTTGGATAGCCTTATAATATGTCACTTCTTCATGTTGGATATGGACTCATGGATGCTCATGACATGCTTCACACGAGACCAAACCCTAGTAGAAGATATTTGTGGAGAAACAGTATGCATATCCTCTTAGTTATTTAACATAGATATTGATGGTGGAGGACTTTTTTGCCTTGCTTTGGCTTATCTAGTAGAGACTTTTGAGTGGAAGAAGTTCATTTTGTTTGATCAATGACTATCAAACTTTGATCCAAAGGTAGCTCAAGCTTCTAGACTTTGCTAGTGTTCTGGCATCCTTGTACTATTTGCTGAGCATTTGATGTTGGTGCTAGAACTTGGCCTTAATGTACTTGTCAGTGTCGCAATTCAATGAGGTGGTGCAATGCAAGAGGCAGGTATATTCCTTATCTATCATTACCTTTTGAGGATCTATAGACCCGTATATGATACATAGCACATTCCAATTGGCTCCTACACTATTAGCCATGAAATCCTGAAAATTAACATTATATATGCCATTTTTTGCTATTACTTCATTGATACCTCTCCACATGATATATTAGGCCTCGGTTACTTTGGACTCTATATCATACACCACAACGGTCATCACTTTGCAATAGCAAGAGTCATAGACACAACAATCTATGGTAGTCCAATTCTTCACTTATTTGACGTGATCAAATATGATCCACGCATCTTGGAGGTCTTTGCCCAGTGACATCCTTGAGACCAATCCACTCCAATGCAAGGTCCTATTTTGTACATCTTTAAGACAAATACCTTGTCTTTCTTTCCATCTTCATTTGAGAACATATTGCATTAGATAAATGGCTAAGTTATACATCTCTTATCGTTTGGATAAGGTCTATAGTATCCATACGTCCCACTTGTTTGAAAGACAATATTATGTTCTTCACATTGGAGGAAGTAAGATTTGTATACTTCTCTATGACCTCCTTCATCTCTTCTATTGATATGGTCTTGTTTGATTCTTAAGATCTTAAGAAGTGTTCTATGAAGAAGTCTTTGTTGACAACCATGGCAATAGTTGAGCTAGTAGGCCTTGGATTACGGTCTACGTGCTTGCTAAATAGAATTTTGATCTTGGCCTCTGACTCTTGATATGTTCAAAAGGCCACACTGTGGTCATATTCACTTATATGCATTTAAGCTCGGGTCATCTTCGGAAGGCCTTGTACATAATAGATGACTATATGACATATAGCCACTATAATTGGGGGGGTTCTTATATACCTTATATACAAGAGTAGATGATTTTGGTAGTGGCCTTCCTTAAAAAGTCTTAGAGGGAAGAAAAAGTGGACTTTGTTGTTTTTAAGTAGAAAAAAATTGCAACAAGCAAAAATAAGACAAAAAAGTCAGAAACTTGTTAGCTTGAATGAAATTCTAAAAGCCTTAGATATGATAGTCGAAGTAGAATCAAGAGAGTCAAAGTCATCAGAACAAGGTAAAAGAAGAGGAAGAAAGGGAGCTCAAAATTGTGAGAAAAAAAAAGATGACAATAATGGCTTGGCATCAAGTTTAGAAATTTGAAAGGATAGAGAGGAAGAAGACGAGTCAGTCAACCAACTTCAAGTATGTTTATATCCACATATTATTTTTGCAATCCTTGCTAACACACTTAAGCTCATAGTCACTACTTTCCAACTCTAGTAAGTATCACAACGCTAACCTTGTACATCCTTCACATGTACATGGTTAGCTGTGCATACCAACCTCTAAGCTCATAACTTGATTACCAAATCTTACAACATATGCATTTAAGACTCTCCCTTTAGTAGATAGCGAATGATTAGGTATGGATTTCCATTCATATCCAAGGCTCACTTGGTGGCACTCCTTTACCATGTGGCCTAATTGCACTTGGTGTTGTCTCTTCACCACCACCCACAACCTCCATAGTAACTTTGAGGTCATCCAAATGTTCATGGTGCTAGCGGTAAGACACTAACCTAATTGATAATACTCATGGTCCTCATCTTGCGCCATGAGTCTCTATGGTAGAGCCCCCAACACTAGGTCCACCCATTGGGACTCATTTTGTGATATGAGTCTTTGTGATAAGACCCCAACATTAGCCACACCCAATAGAGCTCTCTCTCTCTTGGTCATTATCGAGATACTATAGAAATAGAGAAGATGACCAGCTCTCCTTATAGTACATGTTGGGATCTTCAGCAACCCCTTTAATCCTATGTCAAGAGTTGAACCCTTACACCTCATAGTTTTGGAAGACCACCCGCTCTTCCAATGCCTTAGCCACTAGAAGCTTCTAGAAGTGTTCCAAAATCTTCCAAACAACATATCTTTTTTTATTCCCTTATCAAACGGGACATTTGACCACTCTATCGATATCTATTCTTCGCATAGATGTCAATAGATATCTCTTTTGTTTCATTTGTATAACTATCAAGGGAGTTATGCTACTTCTAAGATTCAGAATTCTCAGGACTGCATCTCAGGCCAACACCATCCTTTGACAATACCCCTTCTAATGCCACTATCTTCCAATCTTCATAACTTTTAGCTCACACTTCTAATTGAGGTGTTTCTTAACATTTCAAAATCGTGACGACATGAGCCACTTTTTTTTCAAGTCCATTCCCTTGTGGCTCCTAATCTCCATGGATAAGAGGCGTCTCCAATGCCTAGGATCCTTTCTCAGACTAGGCTCACTTGAGTCTCCTTACTAATGGTGCCACAAGGCCCAAGCATCACTCTGGTGTCTCTTTTGGGCCTTTGGTGTTGCGAGCACTCTTCAAGAAGATGTTTGCAACACTTATAGTCAAATGCTATAGGAATTTGTGAACTAAGAAGGTATAGTAGTATAGATTATGATCATATGGTTGAAAATTAGAAACATGAACTTTTGTTTTTAATTTTACTCTTTGCACTAGAAAGAATAATTTTAAAGTATTGTAGGTGAATAATGGTTAAGGACTTTCTGGAATTAAAGCAACCAACGTTTCCAAAAGATATATGTCTTTTGATTTATAAAACTACTATTTGTATTTGCACAATAGTTGTTAAATATGGAAGAACTTAATGGTCTATCCTTATTATGTATAGAAGAGCTTGATGGATTTTAATCTGAAGGTAGAAGTTGTTTTGGCCGCATTTGGGAGAGAACATGGAGATGATATACCAAAAATTAATGCCACTTTACTCTTCCTTGAGCTGATTACCTACCTTAATCTAGAGCTATCTAGGGCTGATTCTAATGACTTAAAATTAGAATAGACCTAAAATCTCAACCATTTTAGAACTATTTTATATGAAATTCCTTGTCTCAAGAATTCTAATACCATTTCACATAGAATGTGGGATCCATCAAATCAAACAACCACTACATACAGAATATGATGTCGGCCGACTTCAAAGATTGTTTCGAGTAGAATCTGCCCTGACCGTTCGACTTCGCTTGTAAACATTTTGTATGGAGCTCCAATCTCATTTGCTTCTAAACTCGGTGGGGGATCCTACTGAGCTTGATCTGAGATCGCAGACAATCTAAACACTGAGCTACTTCATTGTGATAATAGGTGAAACCTAGGCTTTAGCGAAGTTTAGGAAATTTTTTGAGAATTGAAGTTTGCACAAATTCAACCAGATACTCAGAAGTGAAGTTGATGATTGTAATTATGCAGGTCGTAGAAACATGATATCTGGCCCAACTTACTCAGGCAAGAGCATTTATGTAAAGCAGGTAATCTCCAAAGAAAGAATCATTTACGTATCTCGCCTGCTTGGGAATTCCTACTGCGTCTTGTAGAATATGAACTTGCTGCAGTCTAATTTTAGATCGAATTATGCATAGAACTACCTTACCATAGTTTTAGACTTTCTGGAAATTGGGAGTCTATGAGAATACGTGAAATTCATTGAAGTTATGCACTTCTTTGGTTGCTCTCGTTGTATTTCTGGCACACATCAGAAGCTTTGTTCCGGCAGAGGCAGCAGTGATTGGCCTTACTGACAGGTGTACCTTCCCACCTTTGCCATGATAACACACACTGATCTACTTATGTCTATTCTTTGTCAATGCTGGTTACTAGGAACAGAACGAAGACCCTCTCTCATGGGGTATTAACCGGATTGTATTCTTTTTGAGTAATGTTGTTAATCGTAGCATTTTTGTTGGTGTCTCGCAGAATCTTCAAAAGAGTTTCGAGGAAAGCGACAATGGCTGTTCAGCAGTCTGCATTCATGATTGACCTATATCAAATATCCTTTATGCTGAGGTAAGTGCAAAATAGAGGCGACCATTTTTAAACAAAGAAAGAATCTACATGGAGATGATCTAAGAGTTGATCGCTAATGTGCACAAATTATCCGCTGATGTAGGTGATGTGGAACCTTGTTTTTGACAATGATTGGTAATACTGACCTTTTGCGGATCGCTAGACATGCCACTTCAAGGTCCCTGTGCATAATTGACGAGTTTGGCAAGGGCATTTTGGTCCCAGGTAATGAGTGTCGTAGCGATTTTATGATCTATATTATCTGATTGGAATATGATACTAATTATTCAATACATCACTATTTGAGGTTTTGGTCTGCTTTTGATTCTTAGATACGAATGGCATGTATTAACCCCCGTTTCATATTCCGACATTGACAGATGGTGTTGGCCTCCTATGTGCAATCTTGCATCATGTTGCGAGTCAAGATGTACCACCGAAGGTAGTTTTGCCGTGCGATGCCTATAGGAGACTAATAACTCGTCAAGAAGGATTCTGATAACCCTTGTTGACATATTATATTCTGCCTTCGATTCACTTTCTTTTTCCAGGTTCTGGCATGTACACACTTCTGTGAAAATCTTCGATGAGGGATATTTACCAAAGGTATTTTTTCCATTTTCCAAATACCAATCGACTCCTCTAAATGGGATGGTCGTCAATTGAATGCCCACTGAAGACGTAATGCAAGTGCGCCGTTTTGAATTTAAATTTTTTTCCCATCATCATGCAACCTAACATTCTAGAGGAGACTACCTGACAGTTTTGCCCATCCCCTTCGTAACAGTTGTAGAATATTTCATTCTTTACAATGAATGTCCCTGAGCCGAAGAAGAGTAAAAATACTTCCGGAAGTAAGGTGGATGAAATTGTATTTCTTTACAGGTTCTTACTCCGACTATCTTCATAGTTCAACAAGAATGGAATTTAGATTTGACCAGATCATGTAAATAAATTTTAACATTGGATAAAAATGTTTTCCGGTTGTAATTGATTTTTCTTACAGTCCTCTTGTGTGTTTTCTATTAACCTCTATGTTGCTACTTCTAGATTTTGGTGCTTGGAGCACTTCAGACCGTGATCCAAGCGCCAAGACGGCCTTTATTGCAAGATGACTAGAATTTAAGACCACTAAAAACATGTTTTTGCGCAGGCTTGTTCTTGGTCGCACGGTTCCAAGCTATGGTACATTCTGGGTGACCTTGTGTTCAAATATTAATCAGAAGCAGGTTTTTGTTCTAAAAGCAATGCAAGCAGATAATGACGAGATTTCTTGCATATTTAAATTTCAGCAATAAAGACGTGCTGAACAATCTTTGAGAAATTTCTCATAAGATGTAGGTTCTGATCAATTCCCGTCGTCTTCAAGTCTTCGTCTAACTATTGAATTTGTCAGGTATACATTGTGCTGAGCTTGCGGGTACCTTCCAATCATTCGTCTCGAACTTCGAAGGAGTACCTCCAATTCATAAGCCCATTGTTGTTGCTTTTTGCTTGTCAGTTTCTGCATCGCTCACACAAATATTTGCTCTACAAACCCTCTTTATCTGGGCTTCTTCATACAGGAGTTCCACACGAAGTCTTAGTGAGATATATTGAAATATTAGAATGCTGTTAACCGAGTAACCTTCCCTTTTTCGGATTTAGCCTCGGACAGTAACTTAGTGTAGTTTTACCGCCGATATGGTAGTTCGGGATGTATAAGTAGGGTTCGACAAGGCATTGTTAAGAACCCGAAGGGGGAGAACCGAGGAGAGCCGAACCAGGAGAGAGCTAGAGACTGTGTAGGACACATGTATATTGTTGAGAGCCGAATGGCTGTGTAAGAAAAAAAACATTCTCTTTACCTCAGACAAGTGTGTGAGTGTGTGTGGATCGACCTGGTCTAGATGTGTGTGTTATATGTGTGTGTGGTTGTGGAGGTGATGTAGATGAATCAGGCAGAATGTGTCAATAGATCGGGACTGAACTTTACCGATCTGATACTCCGGACAGAAGGATCGAGTGAGCCGAACCCTCCCCGGAAGTGTCGGTTCAGGCAGAGTAAGATGATTCCCTTCTAGAGGGGGATTCGTCAGGAGTCCGAAGTCGGGTTGCCCTGACTTCATTAGCCTAACGTGGCGACCATGTGGTAGATTAGTGTTTCTTAAGGGGTGGAAGTTTGGGTTAGTCGACCAGTAGGTCCGATCGCTCCGGTTCCCAATCTTTCCCCCCTTAACATTTGGCGACCATGCCTAAGTTCGAACCCCCCTAATCTAATACCTATCACAACAGATCTGGTATTAGATAGGTATTAGATTAGCCACAACGACAAGGTCTGTTGAGCACACCCAGATCCAAAAAAGATGGATCTAGCGAGTGAGCGGTAAAACGGAGATGTAGATAATGAAATCAGCAGAAAGCGGTGTAGATCCGAAAAGATCGCACAGAATCCTGGTTAGTTTCTTCTCCTCCGCTTAGTGATATGTGTAATGCTGCCGTTTCTTCATTTGGATTCAACAGCATTCCCTACCTGCAACCAACCAGCCCCTTCTGATTAGTCACCGGCCAAACTCGTCTCTGTCCCGATCCAGACTGCGACTCACAAGTCACCGGCCAACCTCGTCTCTGTCCCGATCCAGACTGCGACTCACGGCGGGAATCCAGGGGTGCCGGGTTCAGTCACCCGGGACTGGATTCCCCTCTTTACTGTGAGAAGTGACTCCGGCCGTTACCTTCTCAACGCTAGGCCGTCCCGTGACCCCTGGTCTAGAGCTGGCGTCCCTTTTTACAATTCGAGCCACTGAACCATCTCATACTACTGCTGCAGCATGACGGGGCCGAGGGAGTCCCCTAAGGCTTAGTCCTTCGTGACCTCCCGGGCAGTCATCATCCCCGGGTGCTGCCTTGCACTACCCGAGGGACTTCACCCTTTCTGTGCTCGCTTCTCATGTCCGCTCTTCATGGCAGACTCCTCATGCGAGTCACCTCCTTATTTGCACACTTAGGGAGGTGACATTCTCTCCCACTTTAAATGTTAATGTCCTCATTAACTTTTGTGTCGTGTGCCCTTTGCTTTAGTTCTTCCCATTGGACTTTTTCTTCTTATATTAGTGAAGTGGCTACTCCTCACCTAGCGCTTATACTTAGTTTTGGGAGGGTTCTTCTTGTGTCACCTCTCTCTCCATTCTCTTCTAGATTCCATAGCTTTGTTTCCTTTCCACAGCCCCATTCCAACCGGGTGTGCAATGGGCAATTGCTTGACTGCTAGATCCATGCTAAGACTTGCACTGCCTTAGCATTTGTATCCCTTTTGGACATGAGGAGCAACTCTCACGTTTTGCTTGCGCAAAAAATACAAACCAATCCTTATAAAGTTGGATTGACAGCCTCACCCCCGTCCCGAGTGAGCTTCTCTTACTTTACTTCGAGAGCTAGCTTAGTGGTACCCCTCCTTCTGTACCCCTCCTTCCAGTAACTCTACTACTTCACTCTTCCACTTGACTTCATTTCTAATTGGAATTTTAATTTCACATTGTTAGCTTCTTTCTTGTGTGCTTTATTTCTCAAGTTTTTCCTCCCCCACTTTGAGGGAACGATGTCCTCATTGTTTTGGAGTCTTTCTCTTGATACTCCTTTTCTCTTTGTCTTTACTTTCCATTCGTGCTTCATAAGCATCAATGAGTGGTTTCACATGCCTCAGATAGTTTGCAAAAACCCATTGGTATTCTGTTACTGAGAATCCTTCAAAGGTACATTGATACACTAAGCCCTGGCTTAATCTCTTCTTCCCAACTATTCCATTAATTTGTCCTAATGTCTTATTCCATACACCATATAAAGGTTTTGGCCTCAATATCTATTCAGGATGAAATCCTTTTTCATTTGGAATGAATTTCTTTAACACTGAGATATGAAATACTGGGTGGAACTTGCCCTTCTTTGGGATATCAATGAGATATACATCTTTATGTAAAACCTTTAAAACTTTGTAAGGTCTAGCCCATCTTTGCACCCACTTGTGTGACAACGAATTAGGGATGGACAAATTGGTTGTGTTTAACCAAACCATTTCTCCATCTTGATGCACAACTTCGCGACGATGCTTATCAGCCGTGCTTTTATATTTCTTCTGAGCTTGCTCTACAAAATGGGTAGCCATTTTCCAAATGTGCTCTCTTTTGGAGATCCACATTGTTGCTTCCTCAAAAAAGAATGTGGATGGGAAATCGTCATCCTTTTTTGCTAACACTAGGTCAGTGGGCCTTAAAGCATCAAACCCGTGAGCCACCTTGAATGGGCTCATTCCAATGCTTGTGGAATAAGTGATGTTATAACAAAACTCAACTTGTGATAACATCTACACCTAATCACTATGGTCAGCTGCAATACGATTCCTCAAATACATATTAAGGATTGCATTGATCTTTTCGGTTTGACCATCTCCTTGGGGATGAAACGCAATAGTTAAGATGAGCTTTGTCCCTGACCTTCTCATCAAATGTTGCCAAAAGGCAGTTAAGAATTGTGCATCTCTATCACTTACTATATCTTCTAGATACCCTTTTTGGCAAATCCAGTGATCATAGAAGAGTTATGTTGTTCTTTTAGCACCATCACCCCACTTAGTTGGAATGAATCTTCCATGCTTACTAAACCTATCCACTACCACATAGATGGCGTCATAACCTTGCACTTCAGGCAAAGATATCATGAAATCCATTGACAGACATCTATAAGGTGCCTTTGGTATTGGCAAGGGGTTTAGCAAACACATTGTCTTTTGAGTACTTGCTTTATTCATTTGGCATTTGGCACAAGAAGCCACATACTTCTCTACATCTCCTTTGAGATTAGGCCAATAATATTTCTTGGACAATTCCTTTATTGTCACTAGTACTCCGCGGTGTCCCGCTTTTGGCATGTCATGGAACTCACATATGATCTTCCTTCTCACATGCCCTTCTGGCAAATAGAGTCTACTTTGCTTATAGTAGATCAATCCATTGACTCTCTTAACGATCTTAAGTCTAGGGAACTTTGAAGACAAGCCTTTCTTTGGAACTGGTTTGTAATCAAACATCTTGTTCAGTTCCTTAGCTTCATCTTCATCTTCCTTATACCCTTTCTTAACTTCCACCTCCAAAGGTGTATCGTTTTGGTTCATTACCATATGCAATATAGTCATGAGTTCCTCTCTTCTACTTAGTGCATCTGGCACTAAGTTTTCACGTCCAGGCTTATGAATGAGGGTTACATTCATGGAAGCAATTACATCATACCATCTCAACTCTTTAGGAGTGACTTGTGCCTTAGTCTCAAGATATTTCAATGAGATGTTATCAGTGAGAATCTTTGTTTTCAAACTTCCTAAATAATGTTTCCAAGTCTTGAAGCAATGAACAATTGCAAAGAGTTCTTTTTCATGGGTAGGCCATCTTAATTGGCTACCTATGAGTTATCTACTTTCAAATGCAATGGGTCTTCTTTCTTGCATTAGTACTCACGCAATAGCAAAGCCACTTGCATCCGTATGCATTTCAAATTTCTTGTCAAATTTTGGGTACTTGAGTATCCCAGAAGTACTCAAGGCTTCTTTGAGTGTGTTGAATGCCTCTTGGCATTTGCTGTTCCATTGAAATTTCTTATTATCCTTAGTCAATAAATCAAAGAGGGGACCAGCAATCATTGAAAAGTTTCTAATGAATTTTTCATAGTAGTTTGCTAGTCCTAAGAAGGCTCTCACTCTTTTTTGAGTTTGAGGAACTTTCCACTCTTTGATTGCTTTCAACTTTCTAGGATCAGCTTTGATCCCTTTATGGTTGCAAATATGAGCTAAGAATTCAATTTCTTAGAATACAAATTCACTTTTCTCTGCATTAGCATACAATTTGTTATTCCTTAGCTTACCAAACACAATTTCTATATGCTTCACATGTTCTTCTTTAGTCTTAGAGTATATCAAAATATCATCAATATAGATGATCACATACTCATCTGTTTCCTTATAGAATATTGAGTTCATCATTGTGGTGAATGTAGTAGGTGCATTACACAATCCAATAGGCATTACCACAAACTCATATGATCCATACCTTGTCCTACAGGCTGTCTTTTCAACATCTTCATCAGCCATTCTTATTTGATAGTAACCTGACTTAAGGTCTATCCTTAAAAAGAACCTAGCTCCTTTCAACCTATCCATTAAATCATCCGCCCTTGGCAATGGATAGTTATTTTTCACAGTGATTTTGTTGAGGGCTCTATAGTCCACACGCATTCGAAACTTACCAACTTTTTTGCTTACAAATAAGACTGGAGCTCCAAATGGTGACTTACTTGGTCTGATATACCTTTTTGCCAAAAACTCCATGAGTTGTCTTTTTAACTCTTCCAATTCTCTTTGGTTGAGTCTAGAAGGGGCTGTACTAGGTGGTGTTGAACATGGCACCAAGTCTATCTTATGATCTACCACCCTTTATGGTGGGAGCTCTTTTGGCAAGTCATAAGTCACCATGTCCTTGAACTTCTCAAGTACACTCAGCAGATTTTGAGGTAGGCACTTAAAATTTTGTGTTAAACTTTTTTTATTCATTGCATATGCTTGAAGCAACAAACAAAACGTCTCACCACTTAGTTGTCCCTGACTAACTAAGTTGATGCCTAGGCCATCCAAACTAGGTTCTCCTGTGTGAGGTAGGACTTTTGGTTTTCCATCTGTCCCTACCATCACAACTTATAGTCTAGGTCTCCTCCTAATCTCAACTCCATAAAAGTCAAGAAACGTATTGCCTAATACAAAATCAACACCACTGAGGTCACACACTGTGAAATCCTCTACTACTTGGGTGTCACCTACTTCAAAATTTAGGCTTGCAACTATTTGTGTTGCTAGACTGCTTCCTTGTGCAAATGCCACCTTCACCACTTCTTTAATTGGCTCCATCTTGAACCTTAAGCATGTGGCACAAGTTGAACTTACGAGCGAGTTAGTGGCTCTTGAGTCAAGCAACAATGAAATGTTAGTATGTTTCCACTTACCCTTTAAGTAGACTAACTCTTTCTGATGACTTAATATATTTAATCTTGCCTCAAGTCCCCCTTCAAGTACCATGGCTCGAAGGTGAAGACTTTTTTTAACTTGAACACCTTGCTTCAAGAGTGATTGCACAGATGGTTCCTCAAACTTGGCCTTAGGTTCTATAGACAAAACAAACTTTATAAGTGTGACCTCTTTTATGGTACTCAATACCTTCTTGTCCTTTGAGGAATTAGCTTTAGTCTCATTTCTGCAATCTCTTGCCATATGCCCACTTTGTTGACATCTGTAACAAGTGTCATTATCATGGCGAGATCTCTTGTCTTTTCCAACTTGGTCCTTCTTGATCTTGTGGTCTTCTGCTTCAAATTTCCTTTTGGAGACTTTGTTCTTGTTTGGTTTGCCTTTGCCTGAGTTGGAGCTTTTTTCCTTTCATCCACTATGACTCACTCCACTTGAGGAGCTTTCTACCATGAGTTGGTTAGCTAAGGCTAATGCTTCATCCAGTATCTCAGGGATGCTTTCTCTTTTGAAGTACTTTTGCCTTGTAGCTTCTTTTAGTCGAGCATAGAAGTTAATTAGGAGTATTCATTCATTTTCTTGCAAGACACCATTTTAGCTTGAAATTCATGAGCATAGGTTTTAAGAGATCCTTTCTCCATACCGTGGTTCATGTGAACCATGGCAATGCCATCTAGGAAGTGTTGATGTTTTGGCACAAACCTAGCCAACAACATTTCTTTAACTTCTTCCTAAGACTTGTCCATG